ACGCTCTTCGGCAACGTGCTGGTGTGCGCGGCCATCGTCCGCTACCGGCACCTGAGGACCAAGGTCACCAACATCTTCATCGTGTCCCTGGCCGTCTCGGACCTGCTGGTGGCTCTGCTAGTGATGCCCTGGAAAGCAGTGGCTGAAGTGGCCGGGTACTGGCCCTTCGGGGCTTTCTGCAACGTCTGGGTGGCCTTTGATATCATGTGCTCCACGGCCTCCATCCTGAACCTCTGCGTGATTAGCGTGGACAGGTACTGGGCTATTTCCAGCCCATTCCGGTATGAAAGGAAGATGACCCAAAGGTTGGCTCTGGTGATGATCAGCGTGGCGTGGGCTTTGTCTGTGCTCATCTCCTTCATCCCCGTCCAGCTCAACTGGCACAAAGGTGGGGATGTTGTTGCTGCTGCTGGGGATATTGGAGGTGGATCTGACTGGGCAGCAATGGGTGCTGTCACCACCTGGGCAGAAGACATGAGCACCACGTGGGTGGCATTAGTGGCAATGAGACCCTCTGACGGGACCTCTGGCAGCAATGATACCCTCACTGGACCATCAGAGAGCTGTGACTCCAGCCTCAACAGAACTTACGCTATTTCCTCCTCCCTCATCAGTTTTTATATCCCAGTGGCTATCATGATAGTTACCTACACTCGGATCTACCGCATTGCCCAGGTGCAGATTCGTCGGATCTCATCCTTGGAGAGGGCAGCGGAGCACGCGCAGAGTTGCCGGAGCAACCCCATTGACTGTCACCATCACACTAGCCTCAAGTCCTCCATCAGGAAAGAGACCAAGGTGTTGAAGACTCTCTCTGTCATCATGGGAGTCTTTGTCTGCTGCTGGCTGCCGTTCTTCATCTTGAACTGCATGGTTCCCTTCTGCGAGAGCCCCCCCAGCGACCCCCATGCTGGCCTTCCCTGCGTCAGTGAGACCACCTTTAATATCTTCGTCTGGTTTGGTTGGGCCAACTCCTCCCTCAACCCGATCATCTATGCCTTCAATGCTGACTTTAGGAAGGTCTTCTCCAACCTCCTGGGGTGCAGCCAGTTTTGCTCTAGTACTCCGGTGGAAACCGTTAATATAAGCAACGAGCTTATCTCTTACAACCAGGACACCCTTTTTCACAAGGAGATAGTGACTGCCTATGTCAACATGATCCCAAATGTGGTTGATTGTGAGGAAAATCGTGAGGACCCTTTTGATAGGGTGTCCCAGATCTGCCCTGACCACGAGATTGCCACCGACTCTGTGTGCGAGCTGGACTGTGAGGGGGAGATTTCACTAGGCAAAATAACACCTTTCACTTCAAATGGTTTACATTAAATTGCATCCTGTCCTGGTCAGATGTTCTTGGATTGCACAACAAAATATTAGCACTGAATGGAAAAACCTGCTTGATTTTATGCTATAGTTCAGTCAGTCACTTCATGCTAAACTCCCTTGTATGTGTAGCACTTTGCAGGATTTAGACACTGTCGTACAGAGAGGTGCCAGAACCAACTTAATTCAGCGCTCCCCCAGACTACGAGCTCTCCTTGATTAGCTGTGGAGAGATGTTGTGGTACGATTACAATCAGTTGATGTTTATAACATGTTTGCAAATGAAAGGTGCCATTATTAGTGCTAAGTATTATGACTCTTAAAAATGGAGATAGATACTGAAGCTGGCATAGACATTAAACAGAGAAAAATTCTCCTACGCTATTCATTTGTTCAGATTTTTTGTTTTTTCTCTCTTTTTTTTTTAAAGATGGGAGTAGTGAGGTGGTGATTTGGATGATTATTTAAATGTGTGTTTCTGCCAAAACAGTTTATGTGAAATCCATGTTCTCCTAGACAGTGTTGTTGCCTACAATATCCTTGCCATGTTTCCACAGTTGAATAAATAAAAGTTACATTTATCAAAGGGTTATTATCTTTCATTTATCACCCTGAAAGGCTTACAAGTACTCAAACTTGAACATGTCTATTTGAATGGTTAGAATAACTAACTACTAAAACCTACTATTTTAAAATCAAGATAGTCTATATAGAAATATAATTTTTGGATAACAGCAAGGCTCAAGGGAGCGGTTGACCTAAATGAGCTCTTTTACATGTGTCTACTTACAGCTAGATTTATGCCTATTTTTTTGGTCTTAGTATAATTGATGCTATCACTATCTGTGATTTCCTCTTTGTAGCTATATCAAGCATACATACTTAACAGTCATTAACATTTTTCACTTAATTCTGTACTTGAATTTGCTTTTTAAAGATACTATTAATGAGAAAAGGTTGTTGATAGAATTAAAATGTTTCTAAAAATAATTGATTTTGAAAATGATATTACTAATTAGCAGTTCCCAGCATTGACTCAATGCATTAGAGAACTCACTCATGCCAAGAGAAGAGAAAATGCTATTGATGTATTTTATGTAGATATTTCTTTTCTTTACTGGAAATTATTAACAATTCTTGAAATGCCACATATATTTAGACTTCTTAGACTCTATAAAGCAGTCCATAAAAGGTTGTAAAAGTATATTTTAAACTTTGTTTCTCTTCAAACATTTAAATCAGATGGAGTATATCATTTAAAAACGTGTGCACACTTTCAACTCAGAAATCAGAAGTGATATTATTTCCAAGACAAATGATCAAAGGCAGTAAAAGCACTACTGATATTTATTTCAACTTTGGGCTAATTCCCTCTGAATAAAATTGCAATATGTTTGCCTTTTTAAAATACCCGTGCCATGAGCTGAAAAGATTTAAATCGAATCAGTGCAGTCCTGATTGACTCTCTGCCGGGGTCTGGGGCACTAATTGACCTTACTGGCCCCGGCCAGCCCCTGCCGGGGCCTCCCCCAAGCCCCTGCCTGGGTGCGGGGGCTGTCTAGGTGCTCAATGGGTAAGAACAGGATCCCCACTGGCCAGCTGTTCTCCACTGGAACTTGTGTAAATAGGCACTGCAAGCCATGCAAGCGTACATTCAGGACTGAACCTTTTTGGAAGTCAATCCCCTAATGCTGGCCAGCAAAGGGTCGCCTTGTCTCCATGTGGGACTCGGGGTGGAAGAGGCGTGGAAAGCATATAGCCAAAATGCCCTCGCAGTTGCGTCTGCTGCAATCTGGGCTCATCTGCAAGCAATGTTTTGTGTGTGTGGTGTATGACATTAGTTGCCTACATGGTTGTTTTGGGTTATCTTTTTCATTGCCTCTTTGTTATTTAAGGTTGAAATCTGTCTGAGTATTTTCATTCCTTGTTGATGTCAAATCTCAATTTAATGGCCCTTTTACAGCCGTCCTCAGAAAAGCATATTGTGATTGTGCTTTAGGAAAGCTGGAAAAATAGAAATCCAATGCCAATAATCATGTTCAGCCTCCACATCTATGGTGAACATGCTATTGTTTCTCTACTGAAGCAATCAAACATTGCTTTAATTGTCTAACCATAGTCCTAGCCCTTCTGGTTAGGTAATAATCATCTGGAATAAATCATTTTCCCAAATAAAAATGAAAGGGGCCTTTTGTGGGTAGAAATCAACATGATGGTGGTGCAGTGATAAAATATCCCAACCAGAACTTAGATTTTTGTATCTGTTAGTTACTACTCAAGTTTTGAGGGTAGTATAACATGTTAAAAGTTTCTGAATCTGTGTAAAAAGCCTAAGGTATTCAGATGCAAGTGGTACCTGGTTCCGATTCCAGCTCCCAGGGCAACCTCTGTATTTTATCCAATATTATGCATAAATCAGAACCAGTCTAGGGAAATGGGAAATGAAAAACAGATCTCTTCCTGAGCACCTGCAAGCCAACAGACTGGGCAATGCTGCTGCTCTGTGTGTTACTCTCTGGTCCAGTAACGTTTTTTGTTCCATTCTGAGTAGTGGAATATTTTCAGTCATAGCAGCGGAGTGTCCCTCCCCTCTACTAGCCTTTCCTCTTCAGAAGAGTCCCTACGCTGATGCTGTGATCTTTCCCTGGAGATCGAAGCTGCGAGCTGGAATGGCCCCGGCTGAACGGGACATGGGACCCAGCAGTCCCGCGCCTGGGTGAGCGCTCTGAGCACCAGGCTCTACAGAAGAAGAGCTTTCAGGGCAAGAGGATTTGCAGCTCCTTTTTTCCCCAACGAACAGGGTCAATACCCTGAATCGCAAGTGTACAGTCCAAATGAGGAACCAAAGACCCTTCCTTGAGAGATTCCTTCTATTTAGTCCTACAAGGCTCCCTTTGCAGCATGGCTTTTGGATCCCCTTTTGAGGCACCCACCTCTCCACACAGACACACTAGATGGCTAGATGTGGGCAAGAAGATGTGAGTGATTCACTTGTTAGGTGCTTTTCTTTTTGTTCAGTCTTCACCCACCTAAGTTTCTGAAATAAGTTGATGGGCTAACTTTGGCATGCAAGCGCAACAGATATCCATTGTCAGGTTTATATGGTAATGACTTTGCACAGTATGTTAAAAACATTCAGTCCTGTCTTCAATCAAGTCTGAAGGAAGACAATTTTTAGCTTGACTCCAGAATTAGGGAGCATAATTAGGACAATACGGTAAACTGTTCAAATTGCCACTTTCCATTAGTAATTTTTAATTTGTGACTTCAGTGGGTAAATGCTTTCTGATGGTGACTGCACAATGTAATCTCCCTCCCTGGAATATGTGCGTGTCAGGGGCTTCCCTCCTTGGAGCCCAGGAGCATCAGAAAGGAAACATTTCTGCTTTGAAAGACAGATAGAAATTACTCTTTTTGCTAGAAGGCCATATTCACCAGTACAGGCTGGGGGTTGACCTGCTGGAAAGTAGCTCTGCAGAGAAAGATGTGGGTGTCCTGGATGCCAAGTTAAGCACGAGGCAGCAATGTGCCCTTGTGACCAAAAAGGCCAATGGGATCCTGGGGTGCGTTAGGCAGAGTGTTGCCAGCAGGTGGAGGGAGGTGATCCTGCCCCTCTCCTCAGCCCTGCTGAGGCCTCACCTGGAGCACTGTGTCCAATTGTGGGCTCCCCAGTACAAGAGAGACATGGCCCTACTGGAGAGAGTCCAGCGGAGGGCTACAAAGATGATGAGGGGACCGGAGCATCTGTCCTCTGCGAGAGGTGGGCCTGTTGAGCCTGGAGAAGAGAAGACTGAGAGGCGATCTGATCAATGTGTGCAAGTATCTGAAGGGACAATGTCAAGAAGTTGGGGCCAGAGTCTTCTGTGTGGTGCCCAGCGACAGGACAAGAGGCAACGGGCACAAACTGAACCACAGGCAGTTCTGGCTGAACCTGAGGAAAAACTTCTTTCCTGTGAGGGTGGCAGAGCGCTGGCACAGGTTGCCCCGAGAGGTAGTGGAGTCTCCTTCGCTGGAGATATTCAAAAGCTGTCTGGACGCGATCCTGTGCAATGTGCTGTAGAGGACCCTGCTTGAGCAGGGGGGGTTGGACTAGGTGATCTCCCGAGGTCCCTTCCAACCTTGGCCGTTCTGTGATTCTGTGATCTGAAAGAAAACCCTTTTCTTGGCTTGTAACATAGGGTCAATTTGTTGCCTTCAATGTGTCTTATTTACTTGCCATGGGCAGAGCTATAGCGTTCGGAATTAGCAAGATAAAATTTCTAAGGAAATGTGTATCTCGCCTTCAAGTATAAAAGGACAGTCTATTTTGGTGACAGCATCCCCCAAAAAGGATTGTTTTAATCAGTTTCTATTAGATGAAACTGCTGCCCTACTTTTTTGAAATGGTTTCCCTTTTAAGCACTGATGCCTTTGCCTATCCATAGTGTAGAATTCACTGGAACAGCAAGTAGGGTTTTATAATCATCCTCTCCTTGTGGTGTCACTCGGGAACTCATCTGTCCAAATGATTTTGTACCTCCCATCAACATGTTTATTTCCATGAAAGTCACCTTACTCTGGTCATGCATTTTACTCCCTAATTAAGCATGATCACTTATTGCGAGCTCAGGTTTTTGGGATATATTTTTTTTTGTCCCTTGTGCTTTAATAATTTGAATATAGAGTGCGGTTTGGCTTTGAGTCATCATTACTTAGTATTTCTAGTTCCAAGTGATGGCTGACCTTCAAGATCCCTGACTATTTTCAGTTTCTGTTTTGTGTTATTGTTTATAAATATTACCTTGCAATACTTGTCACTGTTAACGTTACCTCTGAACCAGTCAAATCTTCTCTTATGGCTTATTCTAAAGCACTGGATAACGTCATCCCGGGTCAGTACATCAGTAGTCTATAGCTTTTGTGTTTGAGTTAATTCATGACAGTGGAGCACATTTCAAAGTAAGAACAGAATATATGAAGGTCATCTTTGTTAATTTTTAAGAAATCACAACATAGATGATATAAAACTATAGTATTTTATGTAAAATGCTGCAAACACCATAAAGACTCTTTTGATATTCAACCCCCCCCCACCAAGAGCTCTTAATTAAGAGCTTTAATTTAAGAGCTTAAATTTAAGAGGGTTTTTTTAGCACTTTAACAAGTGTTTGTGTGTTTGTGGGTTTTTTTTTTCCCAAGCTAAAGAAACATAGATGACTTTCTCAGAGTGAGCACAAACAGAATGCTTTTCAAAGGGGAAAAAATACTGCATTTTTTTCCTGAAGTTGGGTACTTTATGCTTTTGCTTTCACCATGCTTTTTTCTTTTGCCCGCCACATCTAGCGTATCTCTGCAGAGGGGCTCCCTACTGAGAACTCTTTTATTTTTGTACACATAGCAAAAAAAATTTCAAAATTAGGAGGGCTTGTGGTACAAATAAAACTAAGCACAATCTTTTGCCATTTAGAAGCTGATCAGACATAAATTCAGCATTCAAGAGACTGACAAGACTGGAGGCACTACGTGGAGCATGCGTCAGATGGAAAGTGTAAGGGGAGGTAAGTCCTGCTGCTGTTTGCATGTGCCAAAATTGCC